CTGGAAGCAGCTGGTAACTGTTCTCTTAATTCACATGATTGATGTAGGGAAACAAGTCCAAGTGCACAGCAGTCTGATCCACTCCAGGACTTACAGTGTTACTAACAGGCTCCCAGTGCACAGCAGCCTGATCCACTACAGATCTTACAGTGTTACTAGACAGGCTCCCAGTGCACAGCAGTCTGATCCACTCCAGATCTTACATTGCAATTAGACAGGCTCCCAGTGCACAGCAGCCTGATCCACTCCAGATCTTACATTGCTATTAGACAGCCTCCCATTGCTAATAGACAGGCTCCAAGTGCACAGCAGTCTGATCCACTCCAGGTTTTTGTAACAGTGTCCATATGTCTTCATCAGATCTAATTAGAGTATCAATTCATATCCTGTGTCTGTCTGATTGCTGCTGCTCACAGTCTTCTTTCCTCTATGCTTGTTCAGTGATGTTTATATTTGTCTTAGCAGCCACATGATTAAGTAAGTTCAAGTTTATCTCCATATGTACCTGAGTACAATGAAATGCTTATGTGCATGTTTTCCTCACATGACAAATGACGTAATGCTAAAAAATTGTTTGAGACAGGAACAGGGTTGCAACTATAATTGTAAGCAGCATTCAGATACCAGCTGTGTGCAAATTGCAAGCAGTGGCAATGTTTTGAGTTTAGTGCAAAAACAGAGGGTTTAAATGGGGGTAGGAGGATTTAAGAGCTGGAGTTTAGGAGTGTTATGACTGAGTGGTAAAAATATTCTTTGAACCTAGAGGTCGGGCTTCCAAGAAACCAATAAATTACTTGAAAGGATCCAGGAATTGCTCCTCCTGAGAGGCTTGGAGCACAGCCGAGCTCACAGACAGGAAGGGGCAGCTGGTCAGGAGTCTCAGTCTCACCAGTCAGGACCTGCTGACCTGTCTGAGGGTCAGAGCTGCTGCTCACAGGCTCGTTCTGCTGTCTGCTTGTTCCCCAGGAGCTGGAGAGGCCGGCGCTCTCCCTGACACTGGGGAAAGGGCTCCCACTGAGCAGCAGCACTGGGAGCAGGAGTGGGGCTCCAGTCTGAGGCAGGACCCAGAGCCCACAGCTACTGGAGGCAAACAGGGTGAGGAAGAGCGCAGAGGACTGGAGTCTGTCCACATGGCAGAGGCTGCCACTGGTTGTTGCAGGATACTGTCCCTCAACAGTGTGGATCTTGGTTTGAAATTCTCAGAATCTGAGAGTCATAAACAGAATCACTTCAAACCAGAACATCACAATGACTCCATTAAAACAGAGTACGAACCCAGTCCAGTCACTGATTTCATTAAAGTAGAGGTGAGCGGACTGGAGTCTGCAGACACAACAGAGTCAGGTGAGGAGTTTCACAGCCGACTCAGAGGGCACAGATCTGAATCCGTGACAAAAGGATCCATTAAATTAGAACCTGAGTCGCTCATAGAAGTACCAGTTAAATTAGAACCTGAGTCAGTTACAGAACAAGTCATTAAATCGGAGCCCGAGTCCGGTGCTGAAGGCCAGTGTGTCCTGGAGTCTGCGGGCTCAGGAGAGGGGCTCAGTGCAGGGAGTCAGAGCCCTGAACCCTCCAGCACACCCTCCCCCTCAACACCGTTTGTGAGCACCAGCACAGTGGAGACCCCCGGAGACCCTCCGGAGCGCCAACACTGTGCCCAGTGTGGGAAGACCTTCAAAACTGTGAAATACCTGAAGAGACACCAGCGCATCCACACGGGAGAGAGGCCCTATTCCTGCGCCCTGTGTGGGAAGACGTTCGTGGTGCTGGCGGTGCTAAAAACGCATCAGCGCATCCACACGGGCGAGAAGCCGTACCGCTGCACGGAGTGCGGCAAGAGCTTCAGGGTGCTGGGGACCCTGAAGACTCACCAGCGGACGCACACCGGGGAGAGGCCCTTCCGCTGCTCCCAGTGCGGGAAGGGCTACGTCACGTCCGCGGGCCTGAAGATCCACCAGCGCACCCACACCGGGGAGCGGCTGTACGGCTGCGTCCAGTGCGGCAAGAAGTACACCACCGCCAACAACCTCAAGAACCACGAGCAGAGCCACACGGGCGAGCGCCCCTTCGGCTGCGGCCACTGCGGCAAGGGCTTCCGCGCCAAGGCCCGGCTGACCGAGCACCAGCGCATCCACACGGGCGAGCGGCCCTTCTCCTGCGACCGCTGCGGCAAGGGCTTCCGCGCCAAAGGGCGGCTGACCGAGCACCTGCGCACCCACGCGGCGGAGCGGCCCTTCCCCTGCGCCCACTGCGGCAAGAGCTTCCGGGTCAGGACCCACCTGAAGAAGCACCAGCGCATCCACACGGGGGAGAAGCCCTACCGCTGCGCCCAGTGCGGGAAGAGCTTCGCCGCCTCGGACAGCCTGAGGGCGCACCAGCGCCTCCACACGGGGGAGAAGCCCTTCGGCTGCGACCGCTGCGGGAGGCGGTTCATCACGTCCGGCTGTCTGTCAAAGCACCAGAGCGCCCACTCGGCGGAGCGGCCCTGCTGCTGCTCCAAGTGCCTGAAACGCGCCCGGCAGGCTGCGGCGGCGGTGGGGGGAGGAGGAAGAGGAGGAGGGGTGGACGCCGGAGCGGCGCCGCCGGCCTGCCTGCTGCCGAACTTCATCACCGCCCCGCTGGTGGCATTGTGGGAAATCGCACTTCCTGCACAAGAGTCCGCCGTGGGGGAAGTGGCGAGCGAGGGGCTCGTCGACTCTAACGGGGCTCGCTGAGCACCAGCAGGGTCATGGTGGCTGCCGGCTTTGCTTAGTCTAGCAAAAATATTACAAACGAACCTTCTGGACCGATCCGGGTTCAAGGGCTGACATTTCACCCACGCCCAGTTTCTGAAGCAACACTTCCTCGAAGTGAATTCTGAAGCTGCAAGGGCTGATGGTTTCCTGTTTTTGCCCTCAAGCATTGCTTCCCAAACCTTCTCCTCTTGCAGCGTCTTTTAATGTCCTGAATGATTTTGTTCACAGGGCTGGAAATATTTATTTCAAGCTGAAAGTGTAGATGGCTTTTCTAAGGAGAAATGACCCTCAGCTTTCTTAAGAACACTACTGGGAAATGTGAGCTTGCTTCAAGGAACGCTGCTGTTGATTATTTGGTCCAGTGCTTGATGGATTTGATCGCCATTTATTAACAGGATCTTCTGATGCTTGAGAAGTGTCAGAGAGCGTTCACACAGGCTCTCTGGGTTTGAAACTGGCAGCAGAGTGGGAATTGCTTGATTTGAATTCAGTGGGTATTAATGTGAGAGCTTTCCCAATGGGAGAAAGTCCGGTTATACTGCATAAGCAATGCCTACATCTCCCAGAAACCCGTGCGGCCACATGTGGCAAGCTTAGCTGCCCCCCCTAGACTGAGACAGGCTTAAAGTGCAGATGTACTGCGTATAACAGCAAAAATCAGACGTGTTTCAAAATTCTGTTGAATGGATAAATTTCCATTAATAAACATTACTGCCTTGCAGAAATACTGGAGCACCGTAAAGCTGTCGCGGAGATCTAGAGATCAGAACAGACGCTTTTCACCCCCGATTCATCCGCGCCAGCAAGCGCCCATATCTGAAAAGAATCGCGATCATGATTGGCTTCTCCCTACTTTCTACAAATGTGTGCAGCTTCTTCTCTAACGGCACCATTTCAAACTATTAATGTCAGGTTTATGTAAAAATGATTGTTTTTATTTTTCATACATTTTCACTTAAGAAAAATAATCATGCACAAGGTGCACACTTCAACTGGATTCGAAAATACAAGTTTTTTTTTATTTCCCCTTAAAGAGGGAATTTAAGTTAGGTCATAGACTTTTAATACTGGACAGAAAAGGTTTGGCTGTTTCCGGGATTCTCTTTTTTCCGAACCCGATTAATGGGATACAGCCTTTATGGACTGTGACCTGTAAATAAACACACAATAATTATAATTATTTAAATTATTACATTTTGGCTGTTGTATGATGCATTATTTCCTTTCCCTTTTTAAGACAAAGAAAAGCTTTCTTTGCTGCAAAAATTAACTTTCCCAAGTCTCGGGCCACCATCATCATCTTAAACCAAAGCCAAGAGCTACAAGCTGTCCGTTCTGGTAACAAAACCCAAACTTTCCATCTCCCATGATTCACAGTCGGAGCTACAGACTGGTGTCACTTTCGATTGGTCGAAGTGAGGTGGAAGTGACATCATTGCGCGATTGTTTCCATGGCGATCCCAGAAACCACTGCAGTTATGTCAGTAAGTCTTTCACAGTAAGTCTTTGGGTACCCCATTATCAGTGACTCCAGTCTCAGACACCCAGTTTCGGAAGAGAGCATTATTACTATCTGCAGATGAGTTTTACACAATATACCGCACTCTAACCTAATTAGATTTGCCTGCTGTTTTCTGTTACCACTTACGTAACACGAGACACTAACCAGATGTCTACTTCGCTCTGGGCACGTGACAAGAAGAAAACTCCCATCCCTTTTAAATAAAATTTCAATACCCTGTTCATGTCTTCATTCTGTTTTTTTTTATTTTCATCAGTATCGCACTTCCAGTGTGTCAACTACTGCTCACAATTTTTCCCCTGAACAGCTCATTAGAACTCGTGGGACAACAGTTTGCAAAGGTCTGGGGTGCTCCAGTGTACGTTGTTCCGTTCTTCTCTTTTCGGCATGGAATAAACCTATTGTTCCTTTGCAGCCTACGCACGCTGACGCAGTTCGTTACTAGAAAGTGGATAGCTGAATAACATCTAATTTATTACATCTGCTTTGGACCAAAAAGCTTTAATGAAACGTTTACCATTATAGTGATTTTAATCATCAAACAAAGTACAATGCTACGCATTTAAAGTGCTTCAAATTGTGTTTGTGGATTGTCTTACTGTTTTCCTGATATATAGCACTGTTGAACGCTTTGATTAAGAAGCAACAATATCATTCGCGCAGGCTGTCCAAACGGATTGAGGATTTTCTGTATTGCCATCCTCATTTTACATGTGTGAATATCCCAGCAAGGAACAGGCACGTTGTGGGGTCCAACCTGGTCGGAACGCCAGTCCATAACAGGGACACAAACACACACCAGGACCAATATTCCCAGAAGCACATGAACCTACCAGCATGCCTTTGGACTGTGGGAGGAAACCAGAGCACGGCAGAAAACCCACACGTACACAGACAGAACATACGAGCACCACACGGAGAGAGCTGCAGCAATTGAACCTCGCAGAATCCACCCTGATATAAGTGAACCCCTAGAACAAACTGACTAGTAGACAATTACTGAAATTTCAAAGTTAATTCAAATTTCAACCATAAAAAATTTTGACGGCAAACATATTACGAGGGTTTATGAACAGCTGAGTGCTCAGGTAACTAACTTTGAATCTTTCATTAACACGAACAAGTCACTGCCACCTGAAGGAGGTTCCACAGCTGAAATGCATTTCTTTTTTCTGCTATCGTACTGGGAGACCATGACTTGACTCTGATGACCTAAATCATTCAGGCCAAGTGTGTATTAAGTTAGGTGTAGCTAGGCTTTATAAGAGACCCGAGGGGAAATAAAAAAAAACAGGTGTGTAAAGAAATCAGAAATGGAGTTCCTGTTTGCTCTGGTGTTGAGAGATCTTTTGTTTCAGTGAGGTAAAGGACTGAGTTAATATAAGAGATAAAAATGACCCAAGTTTCGGTAGGTCCCCAGATGGAATGTCTTGAATGTTAATTTATTTCAAATTAAAGCTATAACACAAGAGTATCAACTGAGTATTTGTATTTTTCCATGGTAACAAAACAAATGATTTTTTTAAACCAAGAATACAGTTTCTCACCTGACGAGGTGTGATAATGGACAACATGCTTTTCATGGAAACGAATGTTTCTGCCCTCGGTGGTTTCAAATCCACACCAAGGCAGTAACAACCCAGAGTCCGAGACACAGGACAACAGCTTAAACACTGATCTTTCAGAAGGACTTTTTGCGTAAAGTAAAATCCATCTGTGAGGATCCCTCACACCCCTTGTTTAATAATTTCCAGTTACTCCCATCAGAATGCAGATACCGACTCCCCAACTCCAAAACCAACAGATTTAAGTTCTCATTCATACCTGTAGCCATATCCTTACTTAACACTTGACTTTCTATGCAAATATGTATGTATATTGTATATAGTTGTTCCTGTTGTTTTTCTTCTTCTGTCCATCTGTACACCAACACTGCTGCTGTAAAACAACTTTCCCCCTTGGGGATAATAAAGACTCTCTCATTAAATGCAGTGTTACTTTGCTTTGGCCTGGTGTTAGCTTTCACCATGAGTGTCGATGGACCTTGACCTCATATTCCACTGGAGCCAGATTCCAGGATCACGCCCCACAGTCCTGTGACTCCGCATCAGGAGAGCGAGCTGCTCGCCTGTCCGATTTCTCTCTCTCGTGGATCAGCTGGTGACGTTTCAGACTCGATGAATCGATGAAACTCTTCCCACACTCGCAGCAGCAGAAGCGCCTCTCCCCTCTGTGGAACTGTTGGTGTATTTTCAGGTTTCCCGATGTTCTGAAGCTCTTCCCGCACTGGGTACAGAAGTACGGTCTCTCTCCCGTGTGGATGCGCTGATGTGTTTTCAGGTGTCCTACCTCGCTGAAGCTCTTCCCGCACTGGGAGCAGCAGTAGGGTCTCTCTCCTGTGTGCATTCGTTGATGTCGCTTCAGGTGTCCTAACTCGCTGAAGCTCTTCCCGCACTGGGAACAGCAGTACGGTCTCTCTCCCGTGTGGATGCGCTGGTGTTTTTTCAGTTGTCCTAACTCACTGAAGCTCTTCCCACACTGGGAGCAGGAATAGGGTCTCTCTCCTGTGTGGATGCGCTGATGGGTTCTCAGGTTTGCTAATCTATTGAAGCTCTTCCCACACTGGGAGCAGCAGTGCGGTCTCTCTCCTGTGTGGATGAGCTGATGTGGTTTGAGGTTTGCTAATCGACTGAAGCTCTTCCCACACTGGGAGCAGGAATAGGGTCTCTCTCCCGTGTGGATGCGCTGGTGTGTTTTCAGGTGTCCTAACTCACTGAAGCTCTTCCCGCACTGGGTACAGCAGTACGGTCTCTCTCCCGTGTGGATGCGCTGGTGTCTTTTCAGGTGTCCTAACTCTCGAAAGCTCTTCCCACACTGGGAGCAGGAATAGGGTCTCTCTCCTGTGTGGATGCGCCGATGTCCTGTCAGGGATCCTAATTCACTGAAACTCCTCCCACATTCAGTGCAGCAGAACAGTTTCTCACCGGTGTGAATCTGCTCGTGGTTTTTCAGGTCCCCTAAACGGCTGAACCTCTTTCCACACTGGAGGCAGCAGTGCGGTTTCTCACCTGTGTGGATGCGCTGGTGTGTTTTCAATGATGCGAACAGAGTAAAACTCTTCCCACACTGGCTGCAGGAATGTGGTCTCTCTTTTGTATGGATGCGCTGGTGTCTCCTCAGGTATTTCAAAGTCCTGAAGGTCTTCCCGCACTGGGGACAGCGATGGCAGTCCGCAGGGTCTCCGGGGGTCTCCACTGTGCTGGTGCTCACAGACAGCGTGGAGGGGGAGGGTGTGCTGGAGGGTTCAGGGCTCTGACTCCCTGCACTGAGCCCCTCTCCTGAGCCCGCAGACTGCAGGACACACTGGCCTTCAGCATCGGGCTCGGGCTCTGATTTAATGACTTGTTCTGTAACAGACTCAGGTTTAATAGAACCTGATCTGACCTCAACAAGTCTGTCAACACTTGGACACTCCCTTGAGTCTGCTGTGCCAGCAGATTCCAGCCCAGTCATCTCTAATTTAATGTAATCAGACACCAGACTGGGTTCGATCTCTGTTTTAATGGAACTGAGCTCAGAGCCATTGAAGGACGGTAGGTCATTGTGATGTTCTGGTTTAATGAGATTCAGATTATCAGTCTGTTTTCCCATTTGAGAAGACCTTGGGCTGGACAGTATCCTGGAATGACGCGCAACGTTAATGGAGCTCAGATCAGATCCCGGCATGGGGAGTCCCTGTGGGACGCCCTCCATGTCTGTCTCTGCCATCTGGACAGACTCCAGTCCCCCGAGCTCCTCCAGTAGCTGTGGGCTCTGTCTCCTGCCTCAGACTGGAGCCCCACTCCTGCCCCCAGTGCTGCTGCTCAGTGGGAGCCCTTTCCCCAGTGTCAGGGAGAGCGCCGGCCTCTCCAGCTCCTGGGGAACAAGCAGACAGCAGAACGAGCCTGTGAGCAGCAGCTCTGACACTGACAATGAGTGTGCAGGCAGCTTATATACAGCACACTAGGCAGAAGTTAAAAAGTCGTCACACAGTGCATCTGTAACAGTTTATTTGTAAAATCAGTAAATCTAATAAAGGTTTTAGCAGCTAGATAATAAGTTCCTAAAACAACCAACTACAATTCTTTATCACCTTCTTGACATCTTTGCCCCTCAGGTGTCTGAACAGCTACACACCCCCTGTGACCATTTTAATAATAATAATTTTGTGCTTTTGCTCATCTCACTGGTCTTTTAGGAGAGTTCAGCCCCTGGACCTGCAACAATAATTAATAATAATAATTGTTTACACTTAAATAGTGCTTTTTTGGACACTCCACTCAAAGCTCTTTACAGGTAATGGGCTCTCCTCTCCTGGATGATGCTCCAGTCTGCTCACACACACCAGCTCTCAGTGGGGAGGTGAGCAGAGTGATGAAGCCAGTTCAGAGAGGGGGGTTATTAGGAGGCTGTGACTGGTAAAGGCCAGGGGGACATTTGGCCAGGACACCGGGGTTACACCCCTTCTCTTTTCAAGAAACGCCCTGGCATTTTTAATGACCACAGAGAGTCAGGACCTCGGTTTTACGTCTCATCCAAAGGACGGCGCCTTGTCCCTGTCACTATACTGGAGCATTAGGACCCACACAGACTGCAGGGTGAGCGCCCCCTGCTGGCCCCACTAACACCTCTTCCAGCAGCAACCTTAGTTTTTCCAGGAGGTGTCCTGGGAAAAACAAAGCAACAAGCTCCTGCAGTCTGTCAGCAGGAGTCCTCTCAGTACCCTTTCGTCAGGGGCAAGTGTCGGAGAGCAGCAGGAGATAAGATGGCTGTGGATCAATGCCTCCTGGGACTGATCAGCTACTAGCTGCCAAACAGGCTGCATGGGCCAAATGGCCGCCTCCCGTTTGTGACCGGTGTTGTTTCCAGTTCTCATCCGAGCCACATTGCTAACCGAGTTTTTGAACCATCTGGGATGGTTATAGATTTTGATTTAATCACTTTTTTCAGGTGTTACTTGTACTGTAAACCTTGTTCATTTGATTTCAGAATTTTGTGGAAAATGCTACTACTACACATATGTAATATATTCTATCTATTATGATTGTGCCTTTTTAATTGAATACACCGGTGCAGGCTGGTTTAACTGGCCGATTCCACCTGATCGTTGTGTGCCTGGGTGTCCTGCGCTGGGCTGTCCTCCTCCCCAGTCTGAGGTCCTGCCCCTTGTAGCTGTGGGTGGGGATCTGCCGTGAACCTGGCCTTTCTGCTGGTGGACAGATGGACAGCAGCTTCTCTTCTCTAAAGTACTGAGCCAGGAGTCAGGATCAGCCCAGAGAACTACGGCAACACCCACAAGAGAAATGGTGTTCTAGGTCATCGAGGGGCGACAGGGGGGCACATTGCTCAGCATTGCTGCTTCACAGCCCCGGGGCTCCAGGTTCAACTCCTGGGGTCCTATCTGGGTGGAGTTCGCATGTTCTCCCCAGGTTTGGGTGGGCTTCCTCCCCCAGTCCAAAGACCTGCTGGGAGAATTGGCCCTGCTGTGAGAGTGTGTCCCGAGATGGACTGGTGTCCTGTCCAGGGGGTAACTTGCCCCGTGCCTGTTGCTTGCTGGGATATACTCCATCTTCCCTGTGAGCCTGTACTGGATTGAGCAATTAGAAAATGGCTGGATGGATGGACTCCCAAATTACATGACTGAAGCTCCTGCCTATCAAGACAGATTATATATCTCAATCTTACTGAAGGAGAAAGAGAACAGGCTCTGTAACAGAATATGTACTGTCAGGCGTTTCGCCTGTGAAAATACACACCGTTTAATCTGGTACAAACTTCGGATGAAACGTAAAACCGAGGTCCTGACTCTCTGTGTTCATTAAAAATCCCAGGGCGTTTCTCGAAAAAGAGTAGGGGTGTAACCCCGGTGTCCTGGCCAAATTTCCCATTGGCCCTTACCAATCATGGCCTCCTAATAATCCCCATCTATGAATTGGCTTCATTACTCTC